TAATTTCCAAACAGTGAAATGTTGGATGAATATCATTGGCCAATGATTCTTAAGAATCATGCACCAATGGCATTGATGGATGAAGTTCGTTGATTTCATCCATAAATGAAGTTTGTTAACTTCATCCAAGAAAACATTCATGAATGAAGTTTTTCTCATCTTCTTTTGTAGTTATCTGATTCTATTTATTTTTATATTTGTACTATTGCTTCATTAGATACTATTAGAATAATAGATATCTGGTTTGCAGTCTTCCAAAAAAAAAAAAACAGAACATCTGGGATATGACCCAAAAAAAGAAAAAAAAGAAAAAAAAGAAAAAAAATGATAGATATATCTGGGTTACTATATCAATGGGAAATTAGTTATTTATTGTAAACAGTTTTGTTTATATCATGTTAGAAATAGTGTAGCATGCATATAGTACCCATGCTAACAATGTAGTTCAGTGTTAACTGTATAGGATATATATGAGACGGTGAACATATTACTTCTGGGTACCTAGCACTATGTACCTGTCTTCAATGTAATTGCTAATGCTGATGGAGTTTGTGGTTTTCTTGCTTCAGGGGACTTACCAACATCATAAAGAGCTCAAGGCTGCACAGGGGATTAAGATTACTGCACAGGTGAGGTGTCATGCACAAAGTGTATTGAGATTTTCATATTGATCTTTTCTGTATATTAGTTTTAAAATATGTAGTTCTTTGGTTTGTTTTCATTTGTAGGGCCTTGAGCATGCTATTGCTGGGACCCAGCTTTATGTGGTGGGGCCTGATGATGATTTGGAAGACATCAAGGATGAAGCAATGCAGGATATGAAGACAGTTATGAACAAGATAGATAAGAGTGGAGAGGGTGTTTGTGTGCAATCATCGACTTTGGGTTCATTGGAGGCATTGTTGGAGTTCTTGAAAAGCCCAGCTGTGAACATTCCCGTGAGCGGTATAAGCATAGGCCCTGTGCATAAGAAGGATGTCATGAGAGCCAGTGTTATGCTTGAGAGAAAAAAGAAGGAATATGCTACCATTTTGGCATTTGATGTCAAAGTAACTCCTGAGGCTCAGGAGCTTGCAGAAGAGACTGGTGTGACCATTTTTACAGCAGATATTATTTATCACCTATTTGATCAATTTAAGGCTTACATTGATAACCTTAAGGAAGATAAAAAGAAGGAATCTGCAGATGAGGCGATATTCCCATGTGTTCTCAAGATAATGCCAAATTGTGTCTTCAACAAGAAGGATCCAATTATAGTCGGTGTTGAGATACTTGAAGGCATTGCAAAGGTATTTTTACACTGATCCTCACGTAGATCAACTTTTGAGTAGTTTACCTTACTGAACCCAGATTCTAAGCCCAAGATTTGAACATTAAATGTGAATGTTTTTCATTGATGTCATCTGAAAAGCGGCCCTTTTTTTTTTAACCTTTTTGTGTTCTAAAATGCGGTTATTTCAAGGTTCTTAGGACACATTCTGGTGACTAAGAACATATTGACACAGGCAGAGACATTCTTCCCAATGCTTCATGTGTGTGCTTGCATGCATGTGGAAATACACTCATGCAGCTAGATAGATAGATGAATGTAGACGATCAGAAAAAAAAGAGATTAGTAGATGGACATATGTAATTTATTCTTGTTGGGGGAGAGTAATCATGCATGCTTGTGACATGCCTTATCCTATGGGTTATAGCATACTACTCTGACATATCTTAAAATATGACATGCCAGCTAATGACTAAAACCCTGGTCCTTTAGATGAAATGAGCAATTCGTTCCAAATTTTTCGTGTTGTACAAGGAATGGCCCTGCTAACAATATATTTCTGATGGTGAAACAATGCAGCCTCCAATCTCAAAAAGAACGATTTTTTTTTTTATCTTGATCATCAAGAGAAATTCATAATTGACTTTTTTGTTCTTGTTTCTTGTACGATGGCCGTGCTGTTTATTTTTTTGATCAAATTAATCACATAATTTGTTAAACAGTTTTTAGATCATTGAGCATTATTAGGCCTTTTTGGGAAGGCTGCACGAGGTACTAGCATTAGCTGCAGAACTCCCATTGGAGCCATACAATGGTGTTGGAAAGGGGTGGGGAACCCTTTCCAACTAGAATGGAAAATGATTATTATTTGCAGCATTTTTGCGTGTTAGCATAGATGCATTTGGGGTGGAAAATCATAGCCCATTGATTGCCAAGGCTGTATCGTTGAAGCTGTCTTTTAATCCCCCATCCCCCTTGTTCCCCCAACACCCCCAATTGAATAAAAAATGGATTTACATGTAAAAATCACATCTTTAAATGGTCAATACAGATCTCTCTATTTCTAAATAGCTCCTTATGATGTTCAGTTTGTGGACTCCTCGTGCAGAGGAATCAGCAATTTCATTGGTATTTCCTCAAACACCTGGTGGAGCCTTCATGGGACCCCTTTTCCTGGCTAATCCACCCAGCTACTTTGATTGAATTCCCCTGTATGACTACGTCTGTTCATCTAGTACCAATGCATTTTAAACCCATGATCAAAGCTCCAGCCTCTGCTTCAGTGGAGTTCCCTCTTTATTGAGGCCCCAGATGGGCCATGTGTATTCTTCCCTACTGTTCTCTAAGTACCCCACCAGCACATGCAGTCCTGGGTTATTCTTTTGGTTACGAACAAATTTTAATTTCATACGAAATTTGGGTGGAGATACCAGCCTGTACTTATTATTATTATTATTATTATTTTAATATGTTGACTGTATTAAACTTAAAAGGAGTACAGAAAGTATGAAGAGCGGGGGCAGGATACCCACAGACAGGTTCCACCAAAAAAATAGGCAACCCACAAACGGGTTGCCTGTACAGAACCATGGGTATGCCAAAAAAGCTTTACATGAATCGAGTTAATATATCGATTCCAATCTGTGATAGCAGACTGAGCTAAGGTTCCCTAGAGGTGTCTCAGGTTGGCATTAGACAAGGTAGCGGCTGCCTTTGCCAGAGAATCAGCCTCACCATTTGCTTCTCTACAAACGTGATTTCACGAGATGTGTACATTCCTTGTGAGATGACAGATTTCTTCGAAAGTACTTTCCAGCCTCCAAGGCCAAGGGGCAGTGCATAAGGCCCAAGCTATAACACTGTAAGAGTCGCTTTCAATGGTAACATACTACCCGCAGCTAGTATGTAACACACTGAGGCCTTCCCGGAGGGCAGAGGCCTCTGCAGTAGTTGAGTCAGAGACACCAATGGGAATAGAAAAGGAGCAAAGGGTATTGCTGTTGTGGTCGCTGAACAAGCCACCTATGCCTGCAAGGCCTGGATTTCCGAGAGGGCACCCGTCAAAGTTGAGTTTGATGTGGCCTCCTTTAGGTGGTCTCCACAGGGAAGAGCAGGGGGGCCTTTGAGGTTTGAAGGAGAGGATGGGAGTCCAGCTGTGTGGGAAATCAGAGTGGCAAAGATTTCTGAAGTGTTTGTGGTGGGTGGCGCATAAGATGATAGCTTCTCTAATATTTTCTACTACTGCATTCAAAGAGGATGACTGACTTTGAAATATTCTTGCCTTTCTCTCAGTACAGATAGTCCAAAGAGTGGCAGCCACTGAACCCTGCCACAGCATTGTGCCGACCTTAGGCCATGGGGTTGAGAAAGTAGAGCTGATGAGATGTGGCACATCAGGTGGTGTGGTCCACTGCCGTTGGAATAGCTGAAGGATGTTAGCCCAAATAGCTGAGGCGAACTTGCAGTGGATGAAGAGGTGGGCATTGGTCTCCTCATCTTCAGCGCACATGATGCATCTGTTTGGGATTTGTAGACCCCTTCTATGTAATTGATCCACGGTAACGGCTCTCTCGGACCCAGGTATCCAATTGAAAAATTGTATCCTGGGGGGGGGGGGGACCAAAGGGATCCAAACTTCGTTTACGATAGAAGTGGGGCAGACAGGGGGGCTTCTGGGATGAGCTAGAGAAGAGTAGAAGGAGGCCACCGAGAAGGAATCCGAGTGGTTGCGGTCCAAATGAGGCTGCTTTGGCCCTGGAGGGGCAAGAAGACATAATTTAGAGTATTGGAGAGGGCTGTGAAATCCTGAAATTCTGGGTCCGAGAGTGGTCTTCTGAGGATGGGGCACAACACCCTCCTATTACCCATCAGCTGAAACTGGGATTCCACTGTTGTGTTTAAGTCACAGGCCAGCAAGAAAAGTCTAGGGTAGAGATCTTTAAGGGGTGCATTCTCCAGCCAAGTATCGATCCAGAAGAGAGTTTTGTCGCCCTGCCTAGGCCTGTACCTGATCTTGGACAGAAAGTGTGGGTAAGAATGCAGTAAAGATTTCCATATCCCCGAGGAGTTTCTATGGGCTTGTCGGGAGGGGACCCATGAAGGGTCGGAACTGCGGTATTTTGAATTGATCACCTCCTGCCACAGGTGGTTGCTTTGGGTAGCTAAGCTCCACCAAGGAAGGTTATTCTCTTTGAGGGTTCTAATGCCTAGCCCCCTTAGAGATTTAGGTTTGCATACATTCTGCCAAGATATTAAATGGATCTTCCTATCCCCATTGGTGGACCACAAAAACTTTCTAATTAGCTGCTCCAGATGGGGCCACCGAGGCTAGCATATGGAATCGCGACATCTGAAAAATGGGGGTACTCGAGAGGGTGGCTTTTATTAAAGTAAGGCAGCCAGCAGGAGAAAGGAATCTGCCTTTCCACCCTGCGAATCTACAGTCATATCCATCAATGATATGGCTCCATATATTCAGTCTAGGCTTTGGTATGCAAAGGGGCAGTCCCAGATATGAGGATGGCAGATGCTCCGAGGAGCAACCCCAGATTGAAGCAAAGTTCCTCACGATTGAGGGGTCCAAGGCCTCACCACTCATCTTAGATTTGACCTTATTGACCTTAAGGCCTGTGGTCATCTCAAAAATCTTGAGGAAAACATGAAGTGTTGAGTTGTGCTTGTGACGCCTCACAAAACAAAAAGGTATCATCGGCGTATTGTAAGTGAGTAATCAGCGGTCTTGAATGGCTGATTTTGAATCCTGTGAGCAAGCCGTCCTGGTAAACACGAGAGATAGACCTACTGAAGATTTCAGCCACAATTGCAAACAAAAAGGGGGAAAGAGATCCGGATGTCCTTGGCGGAGTCTCCTAGAGGATGGGAAGAAGTCTTTGGGAGAGCCGTTGATAAGAATGGAGAAGTTTGGGCCTGAAATGCAACCTTTGATCCAAGCTCTCCATTGACTACCGAAGGCCACGCGAGGGAGATTCTCGTCAAGGATGGACCAATCAACATGGTCATAGGCTTTCTCCCAATCAAGTTTAATGATTAAACCAGGTAGCTTGGCACGATGCCGAGAGTGGATAGCCTCTTGGGCAACGAATGCTCCATCGAGAATTTGACGCTCTTTAGCAAAAGCTCCATGAGTTGGCGAGATCACCGAGCTGAGAACCTCTCTCAATCTCAAAGCGAGCACTTTGGCGAGAATCTTAAATGAGCTATTGATCAAGCTAATAGGTCTAAAATCTTTTAGTTCTTCCGCACCCTCGACTTTAGGAATGAGTACAATGAAAATAGCATTCATTGCACGATGAATGATTCCTCTAGAATGGAATTCATGGAAGAAAGCAAGGATATCCTCTTTTATGGATTCCCAAAAAATCTTAAAAATAGCGATTGGGAATCCGTCAGGGCCCGGGGCTCGATCTTGGCCAAGATCTGATATTTCCTTTAAGATCTCAGACTCTCCAAATGGCCTCTCAAGCCAGCCAGCAGAAGTGGGAGAGATGGTTAGGAAAGAAAGATCTTCCAATAGGGTCTAGGGCCTCGGGATGCCTCAAAAAGTTTCTGGAAATGATAAGTGATTATAGCTTCGATCAAAGGAGGTTGATCAATCACAGTATCTCCCACTCTAATTTGAGTGATGGTATTATCCCTTCTTCTACAATTGGCTATTTTGTGAAAAATGCCGGTATTGAGGTCACCATGCTTAAGCCATTTCACTCTAGACCGCTGGACCCAAAAAATTTCCTCTTTCTTTAAGAGAAGTTGGAGTTGAACTTGGCGTTGGATCGGAGAAATCTCTCGCTTTAAGCAAGAGGACGGCGCTCCTCTGTAGAGTCCCACAATTGGATTGAATGGAGAAGAGAAGCCTTTTGGGACTGGAAGTTTCTTGGCAGAAGGCCACTCCAAGTTTTAAGACAACCTTTAAGGCATTGAAGCTTCTTTTGGAGCCGAAACCCTACCCATCTGTGGACTTGGATAGAGAAAGAGGTCCACCAAATGCAAAAAAGGTTACAGAAGTTATCCTCCTCTAACCAAGCCAGCTCAAACCTGAAGGGCTTGGACAATCGAGGGCTGGAATGATGTCTAACAAGATAGGGCAATGATCTGAAGTGGGCTTAGGGAGGGCTAGGGAATGTGAATCAGGAAATTCGGCATCCCAATCCAAAGAGATAAGAAAACGATCAAGTTTTGAAAGAGTGGGGTTGATAGAGTGGTCTGACCAGGTGAAAGAGGCTCCCTGGAGGGCGAGGTTAATCAGTTCTAACCTAGAGAGCAGATCATAGAAATCTGACATAGATTGCGAGACTGTCTAGTTAGAATTTTTCTCGAATGACCATCTTGTAGTATTGAAATCTCTGCCAATGCACCAACAGTGTGGAGGGGCCAGGGCCTCAAGGTTAAGTTCTTCCCAGAAACGGGGTCTAGTCAATGAAGAGTTGGGACCGTATACTGCAGTGAATTTCCAGGGAAAAGAGTGGGAAATTCTTGAGAGGGAAATGGAAACTGAAAATTCGCCAACTCTAGAAGATAACAAGTTGTGAAGGGTTGGATCCCAGATGACTCAGATGCCACGTGATGCCCCTTGAGCATCTAAGGCCACCCATTGGCAGGGTCTAGACCCCCATACCTGCCGAATGAGGGAGAGGGAAGGCCCAGGGAGTTTAGTTTCAACCAGGTCTAAAACGGAGGGGGAATGAAAGGAAGCAAAATTGTGGACGTGCCTGCACTTACGGGGGTCCCCCAATCCCTGTACTTGTTAAATTGCTTCTCATAATGGCCTCCCACTGATTCTCAAAATCTGTGTGCAGTATTCCCAAAACTTTCTTGCGTGTTGCCTAATAGTCTTGTAACGACCCTATTATGTTAGTTTTATCCTTGAGGGGCCTGCTAATTCATTCACTCCAAAAATCCCACTTGACTGTAGAAGCTTAGAATTGCCAACCTCCACATGATGTGTCTTTCTTTAAGGTGTTGGGTGGAATGCCATTGACCAAGGAACACCTTGTTACACACATAGCAGTATAGCACCTGATGGCAATGTCCAGTCCTACTCTTTAAATGGTCTATTGGGAGCACATTGTTAAGGCACACTAGCCAGGTGAGGGTGTACGCTGTTTGGGGGCCTAGGAACAACCTAAAGCTTTTGAGTCACATCGTCCTATTCTGTCGTCATGTCAAGATTTCTACAGAGATTTTACTGAAAGAGCACCATGCACTATAGGTTGTCAAGTTTTTTACGGCAGATAGAAGAATCCATAGAAGAATCCATCCACCTCCTGCAACATTTCGGTTAGTGGTTCTATTTCATATTTGACATGTCTCCTTACTGCTTAGAGTTGGCATTCGTACTACAACAATGCCCACATCCCTCTGCTGATTGTTATACAGTCGCATCTTGGTCTGTGCAATCATACTGTACAGGGTGCCTAGGCTACACCTAGGCCAGCTTGGCAGGCGCCTAATGGGCCCTTTCCCAAGGGAGGGTGCTTAGGGCCTCAACTTCAAAAACATATCCAATGTTTTCTAGTTTTTATTATTACAATATGGACCATCTCTCTTTTCTGTACAGTGTGTACACATCACTCATATGTTTGCTACCCAAACGTGAAGTTTGTAATCTTGAACACTGAAGCTTACCTCGACTGCTACCTTGGCCCCAATATGCTATTGTTATGAAAGCATTTCCTCATTTTAGTTATCCTTCACGTAAGAATATTGAGCAACTTGTTAATGTTTTTACCCATTTTCAGGTTGGTACTCCAATCTGTATTCCTTCAAGGGATTTCGTTGGCATTGGGAAAATTGCATCCCTAGAGGCAAATCATAAAGAACTTCAGATTGCTAAGAAGGGCGAAAAGGTGGCTGTAAAGGTATGTATAGTATGTCCAAGCAGTGGTTTTAATGATAGTTATAATCTTTTTTTTTTTTGGGTGGGCAAGTTATAGTTCTTTAGCCAATACAAAAAAGAGTATGTCAGCATGGTTTGTTTTTGGGACAAATTGGAAGCTTGAAATCCACGCAAACTGGATGTGATTGAACACTTCTTGTATCTCTGGAGGAAAATGATGAACAATAATAGAGTTTTGTATTTTATATATGTTAAGGCATGGTTAGTAGTACTTGTAATTTTCTTTTATGAATAAATCAATGACTTTTCTTTGCCTAGATTGTTGGGAATCCTGAGGAAAGCCAGAAGATGTTTGGGCGGCACTTTGACATGGAGGATGAGTTTGTTAGCCACATCTCAAGGAGATCCATCGACATACTGAAAGAGAACTACAGGGTAAGTTATGATGTTATTTCCCTTTTCTAAAAAAAAGGCTTCCATTGCTATGTTTTGCAAGAACATGAGTAGGTATAAGTATTTTCTCTGGAGGCTTGTACCTGTCCTCATATAACATGGATGAATATGTCAGACTCATGATGTAAACTAAAATGTGATTATTAGGGGTGTTTGTGTTTTTGCTGGTTGGAAATTGGACTCTTGTCATGCAATCATATGCTTTAAAGAGATGTTAATCCATGCATTTTCTTATTGGATTTTTATAGTTTGGTCTTCCATTGTTATTCTTATCATCAGCACACAATCAATCATCATCTTGATTCAATGCAGTGGTCCTTTACAGAAAACAGTTGATGTCAATTGCTTGATGTTATAATTGAAAAGCAAATAGCTTAGATCTTTGAAATTTGCTATGAGATGATAATTGCATTTATTCCTCTAAGAAAAGTTATGAAAAGCAGCATTCATTAATGAGTTCATGTTTATTGCTTGTTCACTGGGATTTCTATGTCCCATTTTAAAACTTCATTCCTTTATGCTTTGCAGGAGGATTTGTCCCTTGATGAGTGGAAGCTGGTTGTAAAGCTGAAAACTCTTTTCAAGATACAGTAACATGATAATGAGAGATACAATCTAGCTTGCAGCTGCAACAAGGATGGCCTCTGTTTAACCCACACTCAGATGGAGTTTGTCAGAGAAATTTTGCGTATGACCCTTACGGATCACACTTATGCATGTGAGAGAGAGAGAGAGAGAGAGAGAGAGTGAGAGAGAGATGTACGCTATATAATACACAATTACGATACAAATAAAATGATGAGATAAGAAGACATTAAATTGTTTCTTGCAACTTAGCCACAGTTCAACTTTAAAATTGCTGTTAGTAACATTTTATTTTCAGAGCATTAACTTTCAGTGAGTGGTTATAATCTATTTATTTATTTACTTATTTTTGTTTTTATTCTCAGGATTGGAGGACTTACCGCTCATACTTCTTGGGTTCATCAGTTACCATCCTAAGGGTGTCTTTTGTTTATTACATTTTTTTGCTGCTTTTATGAGTACCTTTTTGTAATTTTTATGAAATGGAGGGAGCCTCAATTTTGTAATTTCTTTTTTGCCCTTTTGTTTTAAGTTTTAACAAATAAAGGCGATAGTGTTTGTAACATGGCCGTTTTGGTGCGGCTTTATTTGTTGATGAAAGATTTTTCTCTTGCCGCTATTTTATTTTACCTGTTCAGTTGATTATTTAGTGTGGGAACTTGTAAGAGATATCGAGTAAAGTTACCTTGTTTCCAGAGTGTAATCGTTGATATTGGACAGAAAGCATGTTCTTTTTTTAATTAAGGTAGCCTTTTTTGCATTATTAGGGAAAAACTTTTTGTTTGTGATCAGTGAAACCATAAAAAATAACCAAATCCGATTATCAAAGTTGTAAATTAAGACAGCCAGAAGACTTTGAATCTACTTCAATAAAATTGGACGCTTAAAGAAGTCTTGTATAGGAGCTCCTTTCAACAACTGTCACAATTCGGATTCCTTATTCCTTGCTATCTGCATTATGGAGCCTCAATGTGAGGCTTCTTGCAAAGCTTTTCAACAGGCACCGAGTCGTTGAGGATAGGGCTTGCAAAGGGGCAGGCCAGCTAAAATGGGTAGGGCCTAGCTTGGCCTGACCAAGGCCCTAGGTTTTGAGGGCCGGGGACGGGCCACCCAGCCCATTGCCACCCCTAGTCAAGGATCGATGCTGATTCAACCTAATGATCCAGGGTGACTATATTTTAACAAAGAAACTAAAAACAAGAGCTAAAAATTGAGGCTATTTTGGGGCGTGCACACACCCCCCACCATACACATGGCTGCATGCATCCACAAAAAAAGATTATATAACTATCATTCAGTGAAGATATACTACTGTTAGAGGCGCACCGTGTGCATGTTCGCACAAAAGATGAGATGCTGACCATATTAGATGATCTGCATCACTAAAATTCTGGGCCATTAATCCACATATTAGTTCTGTAGGAAATCGCTTGTTGATTAGGTATAACATTAAGCTTAATCGTCAAGTGCCTGTGTGCATGTGCCCACACAAGTGCGGACACATGGATAGAGGATTTGTAGCATATTGCGTACTCAAAACACATTGCACCATTGTTTACCAGAACTTCAGGAATATAGATTACTTTGCAGAGCAATACTACATAGGCTCCTGGGGGACTGATACATAATTAGATCTCTGAAGCAAATGCTATATACAATATGGTATCACCTCCACCCTCTCATATATACAAAGCCAGTCTCATATATACAAAGCCACAGTTTCCTCAACGAGGAGGCAAACTACAGTACCTGCCTAAGGCAAATATGGCATCAGAAATTGCAGCATGACATGTTCTGTTCACCAAATTCAAGATTCCTTCAATCCATTACATACAATAGAAAGTATTCTGCATCCTCTTCAACTAATAACTTACAATCGTTTCTTTCCTACACAAAAACCACCAATCATATTCTGAGCAACAGAAAGTAAATTCTCTTAAATACGTACCACTTCTGCAAAATAACGATTCATAGTAGCCTCCGATCAAAGCCAACATGGTTTGAGAGCCTAGATTGTTGAAAGTTGGCAATCCCTTGAATGCTGAACGTAACAACCCATGTTGCCAATACAACTGAGCGCCCCGAAGAGACTCAAGGATGATAAGAGATCAGCTCCATCTATCAAACCCAAGATCAAATGAAGGAGAACAAATACCTAAATCTTCATTTTTCAAAAGCGGGTCTTTACTTGCTTCACGCTGTTGCTGCATCGATGACCTTAACTTAGATTGCAACATTTTGGTAGCCTGTGCCTCCATTGCATCGAGATCAATACCCTCATAAAAACTATCATCATCAAAGGGGTCACAATTACTTTCATGGAGCTCATTTGGCTGAGACTCTGACTTATCTTCTTCACCATTGGGACATGGAAGATCATAGCCAAATTGCTGGAGATTCAGTTTCCTTTTTCTAGTCTCCAAACTCAGATCCTGTTCTTCCATGAAAGTTTCACCAGCAGCAGCTTTCTCTTTTGTACCCGAGACTGGATTTTTACATATAGATCGATCTATAGATGTTGAATCACTCTGATGAGGTGTTTTGGTACAAGCTTCAGTTTCTGTGAAAGAAACCTCTTTTCTTTGGGTAGGTGTTGGGGACAGGTATGCACAGTGAAACTTGGCCAGTAGGTCTAGTTGTCTCTCCCTAGGCGATTGACTGAGCAATGAGCGTCTGTATTGAAGTCTGGTTAGTTACAAGTAAAGAACAGGAAAAATGTGGGCCAAGTGGCAAACATATATATATATATATATATATATATATATATATATATATATATATATATATATATATATATATATATATATATGGCAAGGAGCTGTACGTTTTGATTGACAAGTTCTTAGGTTTCATTCCCAATCAACAAGAAAAAACAGAAAACCCTTCCAGAGTACAAGCTGAAAGACAAGTGCACTGACAGAATTGTAGAATGCCACTAGCAAAAAACAGCTTTGAAGCTTCAAAGCAGGTGCACATATTGATGGGTTACGATCCTTAGAAAATGCAATGCAAGTATACGTGTTTATGCCCATGAATGTGCAAAAGAAGAGAAGTATGAATAAGAATGAAAAAAGCAAATTCAATTAATTAATTCTGTTGCTATCCTCACCTGTAAATGGCCATCATGTCTCTTTCACCAGTTTCTCCCAGTAAATATGCTGCTGAAGGCTCTACACTGTCATCAATGAAACTATTGCTTTCCCCGTAATTCTCATTCTCATCTTCATTGTCTTCCGATACCTCTGTATCAGAAGACACCCTGGAACATACATTCACAAAGAAGAATGGTTCAAATGACACCCTTCGAGGAAATCATAACACTTGAAGAGCTTCTACAGAATGCTTCGGAAAAATTAACTTACTCTGCTTCCTCATCAATGAAGTCCTTAGGGTGCGCTTTTGAACTCCATTGATCTGAAAAGCATCAAGAATAAATGCAATATATTCCAAAAACATCGGAGCATCAATAGTGCATAGGAAGGCTCTTTTTACACACCCCAATGATTTGTTCCTTATCAAAAGATGAAAGAAAAAGAATCAAACTCACCTATATGAGTCATTTCAGGGACATCTGCTTGAGTAAATGCATTGTAGAGGTTCGCCCTGATGCCATCATGCTTCTTCCTGGAAGCCTGAGAATGTCGCCGCTCATTGACATCAGCACACTTACGCAACCTTTTTAATTTGCATGGTTTCTGAACAGAATTGGATGCTGCTCCGCTGCTCAGCTGCCAGTCTTTGCTACAGCTATTGCTGGACTGATTAACCACAGGCTCACAATTTTCCTTATTCGTAGAAGAGGTCGAAATTCTTAGGTTTTGGAAATGAAGTACATCCGCCTCTGCATCCTTCCCTGGACTTAAATTTCGAGAATTTTTAGTAGTTGATTTATGCATATCTAACAATAATCGAGCTGGATCAGGTAGCTGATTTATTGCTGAGCTATCAGGTGGTTTTGCAACACAATGAGTAGAACTCATAGGCATCTTCATCTCTTGTAAACACTCAAGAGGTGGTTCAGAATGGAATTGATGTCTGTTAAGCTCCACAGGCACCTTTACATCGACCATGTTTTGTGCTACGGAAGAAAGATGCACTGCTTCAAGCAAAGGGGACTCGGGAACGACCCCCTTCTCAATGAAACTTGTTAACCTCGGACTGAGATCCATACTATTAGATTCACCAATTGGTGAAATTAGTATATCCTCTTCCATAGATGCAGGTGTGTTGGCAACATCAGTTTCACAATTTGTCAATATTTTCCCTTCAGAAATTGGCGTTTGGGGAACAATTTCATCAGAAATGGGAGACTTGGGAGAAAATAATGTCTTCCTGATGTGATGCACTTGTTCATTTACATTAGGCAAACCTAAATCCTCCTCTTTAGTTTTTGAATGCACCCCTACTCCATTATATTCTTTAGGAGATGCCCCACAAGAAGGAACACCTTGCTCTGCGGACTTAGTTAACAGAATGCCACCTTCCATTGGTAAACTTTCAGAGACAGAAACGTTTTTGGGCAAAGGGAGACAGGGAACAGATGAAATCAGAATCCCACCAACCTCACTCACAGTTATAATACCAGTCCCAAAAAGAAAGTGGTGCAAGAGATCGTTTCTACTACATACTTTCACTGGTAGGTTGTCACTTCCACTGGGCAGTGCTTTAATATGTGTGAGGTTATCAGCTGATGAAGACACGGAGCTCTGATGATCAAGTATGCCTTCAACCTTCAATGATGCTAGCGGTGCTATGACTTCAACCTTCAATGATGCTAGCGGTGCTATAGCATCTGGTATTTCATGCTCTGATAACGCTTCAGGTTCTTCATGGTTACTGAGTGATTCTGAAAATGCAACCAATAATTCATCCAACCTTATTGGTAGAGATAGATGCAAAACTAAGGCTAAGCAGGCTCAGTCACTTCTTATTTGATTATGCCCAGTATTAATCATCAATATAAAAGGAAAGTAATCATATGAAAATTCCTATGGAAATGTTTTACATGAAAATGCAAATCACATTTACCTTTTATTTGATCTGGTTGAACTGGTACATCTTCTGGTTGCTCACTTAAACAGATGCCAACCTGAGCCCAAAACGTTCAAACCAATGCCCATCAACATAACAATAAGAATGCATCTAAACTACAAAACATATAACTCGATGAAAGGCACAGCTGGCCCCAGTTCTGTTAATTTTTGTTCCATCATCAGGAATTACAGTGAATGATCTATAGAGTAAACTATACTGTATTCATTGGACTATAGAATCTTGACAATAAAATAGAGGCAAACCTTTCCCAAGCAATTCAGCTCTGATGGCCAAACAGAGGCTAGTTCTTGAAGATGCTGCATGGTGTCAATTAGCATCTCTGTTGTTCTGAACGAGTGTCGTACTTCATAAACCCGAGATGGACACACTTGAAAGTGGGGAAAGGCAATAAGAGAAGGTTTCCACCTGTCTTTCCTGGAAGGCCTAAAATATTTTGCTATAAAATCAGCCTCAGAGTCTGATATTTTACTAATAGATGGAGAGTAGGATCGATCATCTTTTGTTTTGTTTCCACGTGGCACAAATCTTTCAATCAACATCTCCATAAACTGAACCTCTGGTTTATAGATATGTGGAACCTAATCAAGAAAAAAAGAAAAATTCAACTTTGAGATGAAAGGCATGTGATCGAAATAATGAAATAAAAAATAAAAATGGAACAGTAGTCACCATTCTAGGACTCATATGAAAATTGAAGCTATTAAGTCCGCCATTATGCATGTGCTTCCCTACTTTTCGGTTACTATCCTGCTTTTTCAAGTATCCGTTCAACTCTGACCCCTCAGACGCTAAAACAAGTGCAGCTTGTCAAGGAATTCTTCAAAAACAATTCAGAAAACAAGAGATACAAAACAAAAAGAGAAGATGTTTTTAAGCTTAATCAGCTATGAAAGCCAAAAAGCATTGTTAAATTGGTGTTACGCTCAGCGAGTATCTCTCCAGGACCTATGAAGGATATCAACTCGTCCTTTATGTTTCCTTCCAGTCCTTCCCATGCGTTGTATCATTCTCAAAGGTGAGACATTCGCATCAAAGCAGATAACAAGATCAACTTCCATGATATCCAGGCCCTCCTCTCCTATAGAGGTTGCAACAATAACATTGTATCCACCAGCACGAAACATCTATAACAATCGACCATGTGATGGATCAGGGCTCAAATGTAGTAATAAAAGATTAGACCATCAGCTTATAGGACATAAAATGAACCTGTAAAACAGCTTGTTGAATTTTCTGGCTCTGTCCGGTTGTACCACTTCCTGTCAAGTACCAAATTACTATTTACCTCAAGGGATTAGCATCCTATGGGTTCAGCAAGTTCACAAACATTTAGAATAAATAGAAACCTTGAAGTAGGAATATAGAGATGAAATTCCTACACCCAACTCTAAATATTACTACAATCAAGTTCTTAAGGAATACCTATTTTATGATTACATCTAGTGCTTGTTGCATTTGATCTGCATCCTAGAATACCAAGCATAGAATTTTTTGCAGAGCATATGAGCTTTTTAGCAAGAATCGGCTAAAATGGTTCGGAAGCTATTGTTGGGGTTATGTGACCATTTAAAGGCTTTATGAGAGCATGTACTGAAATTATTATAGTGGCATCACAACTCCAATGGAAGTGTGGTCCACATTGGACTGTAAGGCATTGCTAATGGCAAGACTCACCTGAGCTTTGACTGACTATGGCTCAATGTGAGGTCTAAAAAGCCGTAGCCATGGGCATTGTGCGCACAACCGATAAGGGTTTCAATGTGGGGTTACCCGTTGATGAGGTCAAAGTTGTGCCCAGGGCATTTGACCAGGGGAACTAGATGAGACCTCTGTGTGTGATGGTTGGCATGAGATGACAAGGGCCTAAATCCTTATCATTATCCTTATCATTACCATCAATTTCTTAAAAAACGATTCGCCCGGCGCCTAGGCGGCCAGAAAAATTTTTCCGCATGCCTAGACCCAGGCGCTCCTACACAGGCGGTTGTACCTGGGCAGGCGCCCAGGGCAGTGGCGCTTTTTATCGTATTTAAGTTCGCCCAAAAGGGCAAAGGGAGTCATTTTGAGCCCCAAGTTTGTATAAAAAAGTTTTGGTGTATTTTTGAACCCCAAAGTGAAAAAAAAGAAGAAAGCCTCAATCTTAAACTTATTTACGTGAATCTAAAGTAATTTATGAGAATTGAAAGTACTTTATGTGGATTGAAAAAGTTTTCTTTTCTCATTGAAATTATTTTTAGGGTGCTATTGGTGGTATTAGAAGACTTTTGAGTTGATTCGTAGCTCGATTGAGGTAACCAACATCGAATGGGATGGAAATATTATGTCAACTTTGATAAGAAAGACAAATAAAATTACGTGCAATTTCTGTGGACATGTTTCTAATGCCAGTATAAATAGATTTAAAAAACATCTTGCCGGTATTAGAGGTGATGTTGCCCCATGTAAGGAAGTCCTAGATCTTGTAAAGAAAGAAATTTTGGAGTACATTGAAGGTAAAAAGAATAAAAAAAATTGCAAAAAAAGGATATAGCAGAATTAAAGTTAGGGGTCAATGTTTTTTATGATAATATTGACACTGAAGAAGAGGATGAAGAGGGAGAAGAAGAGGTAGCTATGGTTGGTACTCGGAGCTCTAAGACCAAGAGGGCTTTTGGGTCTAAGAAGTCTAGTATGAGAGGGCCAATAGATAGTTTTTTTACACCTAGCCCTGAGACAGTAATTGAGAAAGGCAAGGGAGGAAAAGGGAAAAAGACAAGTGACAATTGAAAATAGATTTAAGAAGGAAGATAGAGCCAGGGTGATTCAGTATATTGCTCGATGGTTTTATCATGCGGGCATTTCTTTTAACGCTACTCGCTTGAATAGCTTCCATACAATGTTTGAAGCAATTGGACAATTTGGGCCAGGTTTGAAAGCTCCAACTTCTTATGAGATTGGAGAGACACTACTGAAGAAAGAAGTCGAGTACATTAACGAATATCTCAAGACTCATAAGGTGGAATGGGCTTAATTTGGTATTTCTTTAATGACAGATATGTGGAGTGATAGGAGGAGTAACATGAATTTGTTAGTAAATTGTCCCATGGGTACAGTTTTTTTGCGCTCAATCGATGCTTTCAATGATATTCATGATGCACATTATAGATTTTCTTTCATTGATAAGGGCATTGAGGAGGTTGGGGTGGAACTTGTAATTCAAGTGGTCATAGATAATGCTGCTCCCAATCTAGTTGCAGGTCATTTGCTTCGACAGAAGAGGCCTCACATATTTTGGACTCCTTGCGCTGCACGTTGCATAGATCTTATGCTTGAGGAAATTGGTGAATTGCCTACTATTAAAAGATATATTTTTAAGGCTAAAGAGGTTACAATCTTCATATACAGTCGCATACTTACCCTTAACATAATGCGTAAGTTCACGAAAAAGAGAGAGCTAGTGAGGCCTGGGGTCACTAGATTTGACACTGCTTACCTTAGTCTAAGAGCATGTATAAGAGGCGGATTGCATTAAGGTCTATGTTTGCTTCAAAGGAGTGGAGTAGGTGTAAGTGGTCTAGAGATGCCAAGGAAAGAAGGCACGAGATATTGTTCTTTCGAAATATTTTTTGCGTGGGGTGAAGCATGCGATATTAGTATTTCTTCCCTTGGTGAAGGTCTTGCGCTTGGTTGATATTGATAAGCCCTCCATGGGCTATATATATGATGCAATGGAAAGGTCTAAGAATGCGATTGCAGAGAATTTGGGTAAGGATGTAGCCAAGTATGCTCCAATTTGGGAGATTATAGATGACAAATGGTATAGGCAGCTCCATAAACCATTGCATTCAGCGGGGTAATACTTGAACCCCAAATTCTTTTATGAATATGCAGATATTGAGTCCAAAGGGATAATTATGGAAGGTTTTAATGAATGCCTTGAGAAATTAGTTCCCGACCCACATATCCAAGATAAGATATCAACTCAAGAGCTAATTTTGTACAAGTGTTCTTTGATGTCATTTGGGAAAGATATGGCATTAAAACAGAGAAACAAAGACGAACCAGGTAGTATTCTTTTGACTTTTGTTGTATAAATTATAAATTTATAATTTTCTTTCAAGTTTCAACTTTCAAGTTTTGATAATGTTAAATACCTAAATTAATTATAAAGGTTGCTCACATATTGCAGCCCAATGGTGGAGACAACATGGGAGTAGCGCTCCAAATCTCTAGAAGATGGCTATACGGATCTTGAGTTTGACAATTACCTCTTCTGGTTGTGAGCGCAATTGGAGTTCGTTTGAGAAGTTATTTTACTATTTTACAATTTTATATGCTTTTTTTGTTTATACGTTCATTCTGTAATATAGATTCATAAAAGGTAAGAAGATCATCGACTCATAATAGTTACTTATGCATTATTTTTCCTTATAGGTGCATACAAAGAGAAGAAATAGGCTTGAGCAAAAGAAGCTCAATGACTTGGTTTTTGTTAGAGAGAATCAAAGGCTCAAGGAGATGAAAAACCAGCCAAAGAAGGATCCTATCTCTTCGAAAGAGATGGAGAATGCTTCAAATTGGCTAGTTAGTGACCCTGGTACTGAGGAGGTCTTCTCTGGGGAGCATTTGACATGGGAAATGGTCGAAGAGGCTTCGGGGCAAGCTTCTGATCCTAGGAGGGCCACTCGAGCAACTTCTTCTGCTGGTACTTCATGGAGGGAGATAGAGGAAGAGGAGACAGATTCAGAAGAATCTTTGAAAGAAGAGGAATATGTTGAAGAGGGTGATGATTCTGATGATGACGACCTCAATTCTGATGCAGATGAAAGCAATGAAGATGATGATTCTGATTCTTATTGATGTCTTGATTGACTTCTCTCTTCTTTTGTAGTAACTTTATTGCACCATCTTGGTTTGAGCTTTAGTCATTTGAACGATTTTTATTTTGTTATGTGGTTTGTAATTTTTTTTGCCTTTTTGGACTATTTCGTTGTGTGGTTTACTGGTTTTTTATAGTTTTGGAAGTCAGTTTGTTGAAGACTTGGAGAATTGGAGACTTGGATGTTATTATGGTTTATTTTATGAATATGGAACATGGAGAATATGAGCGTTGGAGACCTTACAATAGCCTATTAGACTTTTAAATATTTTGTATGGTTTGAAATTTTGAATAAGTTTATTCTCAACTGATTACCTGAGAGGCTGAGACATGTGATATGTTTGCATATAAAAACATATGTTGCGAACTTGCGATATTTTCAAATGGAATAAATTACAAAATTTGACACAAATATATGCATATATGTGCATTTGGATAGCAAATATGTAAAAAAATCTAAGAATTTGCACCACAGGGTGGCCGAGGTTCTGGGCGCCCGCCTAGGCGATGGGCACCAAGCAGGCCGCCTAGCGTTTTTTGAAACCTTGATTACCATCACACGACATGCACAATAGATAGCTGTCCAGGAAGCGGCCCTATTGAATAACAGTGTGCTTTGTGTATATGTGCCGAAGAAATGACTCCCTGCAATACTGGACTATGTTGGAAGGACTCATGGAGCATAGTTCTAGAATGGGCTCGGACTTGTCCTCATGGAGGGATCTGTAATCCATGGACTAAGATCGTGTCTCTTTCAATGAATTGGCTGACTTTGATAATCCAATCATGAACCCTTACAAAGAGCTGTGAGTCATGGGAACTATTAGGCCAGTTTGCGAAGGTGCAGTCATATATGGTCTCTAAAAACGATGGAGTCTTCAGTATATTTCTTGTAATCCTAATTCTATAGATCTAATTCTCATCAAATCTTCTTGGATATGTCTAAATATGTTTTAATTATTTTTCTGATAATTAAAATGATTTTTTAGACCTCTCTAGGTATTTTATTTTATTGAAAAATAATTTTAAAAGAAGAAAAAATAGTTTTCTGATTTTATTTTAATCAGAGAGTAAAATAAAATATTTGATGACATCATAAAATTTATTTTAATATCTGTAAAATATATTTAGGCCCTGGACATTTCAGCAGAGGATTAGCATGAGGGACCTAGGAGGAGGGTAGTGTGCCGGGAAGAGCATCAAAGAGAAGCCTCCATCGTGGCTTGTGACATGTCCTCTAACTGCCACGGTCGATTAATAATCCTGCTCCGATAACACTTGATGCAGTGAAAACAAAGAGAGAACACACCATGTAATAAACAAGAAAAGGAGCAGTAAGCTATGCAAACCTTCTCCAATGGAAGCAACGGACTATGTTTCCCATCTCTCTCTCTAGGTCCACCAATCTAGGAACACTCTCTCTCTCTCTAACATACTCTCTGCAAATTACTATTTTCTAGTACGCCACCTAACTTCCTCCTCTAATGCACTTCTCACCCATACCCCATTAGATTAAAAACCCTACTTACTCTATTTAAATGGAAATTTAATACTATTTAAATGACAACTTTGTCCCCTTGTTAACAAAATAATGACCTCCACTCTTACAAAAAAACAACGAAGTACTTGATAATAAAAAAACAAAATAAAAGTATAACCCTTGAACTGTAAAATTTAAATCCAAAGAAAAATCCAAAACTGTTCAGCTCCTACATCACATGGAAAGCAAAAACTCTCACAGTACTTCTCATCAATTCAGATCATGTCAGATTTGTTGCAGCATAAAAACAACATCAACATAATCTGCATAAAATGCTCATATCATGCAAGGTAAGGAAGCAACATTAGCAATTGTATTCTAGAATGGTATATACGAAAGTGGAGGGCAAAGCATAGCATACCAGAACTTTGACCAATAAATTGAGTAGCTTTAATAGAACCCCCAATATCAGATATTGACTCCATTATGTCCCTGCATGCATAATAAATGGTTCATGTAAACATGGTTTATATAAAGGGAAAAAGAAGCCCCCCTACACCCCAGTGCCCCCCCGCCCAAACAAAGAAAAAAGGATTAGCGTCCCACCCTCAGGTCCACACAAAGCCCACGGACGCCCCGAGAGCATAAAAACCAGGACTTTATCCACTTGAATAACTTTTCTCCTTCCCTTTTACAAAAGTGCTCTTTTTCTTATTGTTTATACCCAATCAGTCCGAAGCCTAGAACTCCCATGTTCCCCTCTCTCTCTTTCGCTTCCGTGACCCTACTCTCTCTTCCACTTCTGTGATCCATCTCTCTCCATCTCTTTCTTTCCCTCCCTTTCTCATTTTTATGCCCCTTGTTTCTCTCTCTCTCTCTCTCTTTCTGTCTCTCTCCATCTGCCAAACTTACAACCCCCAGCTCTACAACTCCCCCCTTCTTCTTTACGCAAATCCATACCAATACCCATATTAGCAGCAGTCATATTGTCACGGTTTCTTTGTGGAATTCCGAGATTGGGGGTTTTCTACGAATGTTGCTTGGTGAGTCCAGGTCTGTTTTTTTCTTTAAGCAGCTGTCATCTCTCTCTCTCTCTCTCTCTCTCTCTCTCTCACCCCATTCCCAAACCTCCTGTAAACCCCATCTCTTTCTCAAAAACCTAGGGTGTATATGGGACCATAAATCCATAGTCGGGGGTTTCAGGTCTTTCCCTTATATAAACATGTATTTATTTGCAAACTTACAAAACATAACAAGAAATGAATCATACAATTACAAAAAACATGTAAGAGATAAAACAATAGTTAGTGGGATTGGGATTGAATTAGATCTAGGATCAAGATAAGAACCACGGGATCGTGACAAGCAGAAAGCTCCCTATGGTAGGGGTCGCAATCCATACACCTTAAAATCTAGGGATCTCAGTCCCAATATGTGAGGGAGCTCGATACAAACTTAATTGGGATGGAATGATATTGAGCTCCATTTGGTTAAAACATGAGGTCCCCGAGAGTGCTTAACTAGTACCACAGTATAGTATATGCCACTACACAAACCACATTGTTATACAATACCATACAGCTATACTATACCACAATAATATGCTATATATTATATTCTATTACACTACACTATATGCTACTATTTTTAAGTATATTTGAATAATCATATAGTATACACTAGACTATACATTATACCACATGGCTAGACTATACCATACTGCTATACTCTACTACCATATTATACCACATTGCTATACTATATGCTGCTATGCTATTCTAGAATGCTCAGGAATCTGAATCCCGTGTAACACAGGACCTCAATCTCAATCTCTAATAATAAAAATATACCAAAATTTAAGAATTGTGGTGGAGCAAGATCCCCCTTCCCAGGAGCCCAAGATCAAGATCCCAGAGTGGAATTGACCCCTTGGTAGATGGATCCCAGTAACTATGGATAAAGCACATAGTAGATAGCACAAGTGCCAGTAGTAGCCATTCACTAAATAACTTAAGAGTTCATGTTGGCGGCTATATACAATACAAGTTTGCAGATATCCTCGTCCATCTATAAGTCAATATATCCACAATCCTCCAGAGCATACAAATTCAGTGTGAAGAACCCAAGCCTTCATGCTCCAATGGTGTGATATACTTTAATCATAGAACCATTGTGAATCATAAGGAAAGAGGATATTTTAAGTTTCTGTGACAGACAATGCTACTTTAATATAAGGAGTATTTATATATGTCACAATCTCTTCAATCATGTCTCTAAAATTGAATGGGATAATCTTATTTGTCTTCTTGTTGTGTGGCTTTTTATTATAATCAGAAGAAGGATTTCTACATGCATCTCCTAACTTGGGTAGTTGAAGCTATCACCTTTTTCTTTTTTCTTTTTCTTTTTTTTGAAAGAAAATGCTTTGTAAAGGAGCTGATGAACTTGCAAGCCGTTCTTCTATTCATGGCAATATATGCTCGTTCTAGAACTTGCTCGTTTTTAATTCCTTCGTACATATGCTCTTTATGGGGTCGTTCATCTTTCTATTGAATATAATTAAAGGATCTACAAGCTTCTTATGAGTCACTCACTATCTCATACATTTTTTGGTGTTCACGTTACGTGCAAGTGCCTGTGCGTCTGTAGATATCTTCTATTATGGTTATATGTAAAAGTAGATTGACATATACATGGTCTTCCATGTTGATAGCAAATCTGCACCTGTCTCTTCTATATTGATGGCTTCCAACCGATCAATAGTTACCAAATGGTAAATCTTGTCTCATGTTTATGTTATCGTTGAAACTTCTAAAGAACTTGAAAATTGTAGCGAGAATTCCTTTTCAAAGAGCAACTACAAGATCTGGGTACTGATGTAACCACTCCAGAAAGATTTTTTAATGATAGAACACTTCTACAAGACAATGACTAATAAAAACAGGACAAAAGCTTAAAAACTAAAAGAAGCCATAAATAAATCTACAAAAGCTGCTCAGGAAGATGGCCGGTGAAGAGGGTTGCAGTGCCAGGCCTAGGCGACTATTCACCAAAAAAAGGTCTTTGCAAGTCATAAGACTATGTATGGGGGTGACACCTGCCCAATGCCAAAAGGTCAAAGACGTTGGTGACCGAAGCTATGGCGAATGGCAGCCGTAACTTCAACAATCCTAAGGTACTCCCAATTCTCAGATTCTGAAAGATAAAATATGTAGGTTAAAGCAATTTCTAGTCTTGGTAATGCTACTAACAGAGTGAAGATTAGCAGCGAATCAAAGGCACAAAATCCGCTTGAAATTATTCATACTGATATATGTGAAAAATTAAAACCCATATGCATAGGTGGAAGTAATGCTTCATTACTTTTATAGATGACTCCATAACGATGGAGCATTAGACAAATTTCAAAGGTATAAATCAGAACTTGAAAACCAATTAAATACTAAAATTAAGATTCTTAGTAGAGATAGAGGAGGGGAATATAGATCAAATGAATTTAATGAGTTTTGTAATAATAATAGAATAGTTAGGCAAACGCACTTGTCTTACACACCCCAACAAAATGGAATGGCCAAGAGCCTGAGAGGAAAAATAGGACATTAATTGATAAGGTCAATTGTATGATACAAGAAACTGGTGTAGAATATCATTTTTGGGGAGAAGGTATTATGGCGACAACCTATATATTAAATAGAGTGCCTTCCATAATGTGACACCCTTTGAGCTATGGTTTAGTAGAAAACCCAACCTACATCATATCAAGGTATGAAGTTCTACGACACAAGTTCATATTCCCCATGAGAAGAGAGATAAGCCAGGACCCAAAATAACATAGGTACATATTTGTACGGTACTCAAGTGACTCCAAGGGATACAGATTTTATAATAAAGAAATTAAATAAATTTGGAAAGAAGAGAGGCTTACTTCTTAGAAGACATTGAAATATCAAAAGTAAAACAAACTAGAATTTTAGAACAAAGTGAGGAAGAAGAACCATAAAACCCCAATATAATTGATGTAGGAAGATCTTCTCAAATTGATTAGAAGTGCTAGGGGCATTAAAAGCTTATTATTCAGATGAATATGTCTATTATAACAAATAAAATGAAGTGCCATGTAAGTTTAAAGAAGCTATTAGCTCACCTAAAGCAAGGAGTTGAATGGAGGCTATGAGGGCTGAATATGAGTCCTTAATAAATAATAAATTGGCAGAAATTCCTACAAATAGAAAGGCAACTGGTTGCAAATGGGTATACTCTAAGAAGTTTAAATCTAATGGAAGTGCTAGTAGATATAAAGCAAGATTGGTGGTTAAGGGGGTTTAGTCAAAAGGAAGCCATTGACTACCAAGAAACCTTTTCACCCATAGCCAGGAAGTTTTCTATTAGTATTAGCAAGAGCTATTCATTATGATTTTCATATTCATAAAATGGATGTTAAAACAGCCTTTATAAATGCTGAATTAGAATAAGAAATTCACATGACTCAATATGAAGGTTTTGAGTGTGAGGGTCAAGAAAATAAAGTATGCAAATTAATTAAATCATTATATGATTTAAAACAATCCTCAAGGCAATATGGATTTAAGAATATACGAAAGAAGGCCATCACTCAAGAGCTCCAATAATAGAGAAGCCTGCCCTAGGGATTCATCCCAATTGTTTTAGGAGGGCAAAAGGCTTGTTAAAAGTCAGTAGTTAAGGATTGGTATGATTGTACTAATTAAGTTAAGATGGTTTGAATTCAATATATCATCTAGTCCTAATCGGAGGCTTTCAAGCTCTCAAATCAAAAAAAAGTTCCTCGACAAAGAGGCAAAGCAACCAGAATGCCCTTAAACGCTAGAAGATTTTTGTAGATAAAAATAGCACTCTCGGTATTGAGTCTTATGGAAGGAATTCTCAAAAGAGAATCTAAAAAAACAAAGGATAAATTCATTGATTGACTGATTTCCGAAAGGAAAAGAAAGAATCAAAGGATAAATTCATTGATGGCTGACTTCCCAAAGGAAAAGAAAGAATCTAAAAGAAGATGATGAAAGACGACAACACTTAACTTGACCATAGAATGACAAGACTTTCAACTTTATAGAATATCCTTAACTCAGCTCAAAAGACATCGTTTTTACATTTACAAGCGGTGAATTTGATTAACACTTTTTATACGAAAGAAGACTGAAAAACTCTCGGGCTGGGCCCAGAAATCCAAGAGATTTCCTTGCCTCCATATGACCATCAAATCCATTTTGCATGGAATAAGGAGATGACAGCTCCAATATTTCCTAGTTCGGAATCAAGGAACTATACTCGAGATTAAAACGAGCTACTTCTTATTGTGAATGCACTAAAGACAGCTAGCTTATTCATTATATTTTGATCATATATGTACATGATATAATTATAACAAGAAACAAGGAAAAGCCATTGAGGTATGTAAGAGGTGGTTATCCTCTAAATTTGAGATGAAAGATATGGGACATGTTGACCATATT